CGTGCGCATCGAGTTCCTCGATGGCATAGCGACTGACACGGTTGGGATCTGGCCGGATCGAAGAATTTTTTCTAAGTATTCAATCTTTGTGTTAATAATTTTAACAAACTAGAGGAGTAATATTTCCAAAAAATAATTGAATATCAATTCAATACAAATTTAAAGATTTATTTCTTTTAATTTTTTTACATACACAGCTTTTTATCGTAAATGACAGTTTAAACCGTAAGTTTCTCAAACTTTTTGTCTTGCCTAAGTGGGCAGGCAAGATAAAAAAAATTTCAACGTTTACCACCACAAAAAAATATTAAAAACACGTATTTTGTATATTAAATTAACACAAAAATAACAAGGAAAAAAGTTGTAGGATAGTTTATATAGGTAATTCAGGTTTTTTTTTTCAAATGTGGTAGCACCCCCGGGACAGCATCAACGCCCACTGGGTGGCAGTAGGGAACACTTTAGGAAATTATGTTTTAAACTACAACGGACAAGGACGTATCGACATTTCCCGCCAAAACTACATCAAAATAGAAATTACAGAAAAAGCTAAGTTTATCGTTAACTCAACTATTTTATATTTTAGTGTAACCGACAGAATCAATATTATAAAAACGTAACTTATTATCGCAACCGACTGGTACATCACTATTTCGTCACTTACTATAAACAAAGTGGCAAAAAACGTGTTGCACCTTGTTGCGTATTTTCAATCGCAAGTGTCACCTTAAACGCTTGAAAGCCTCAATAGTCTTTAAATAGAGATAGCAAAGATATTATACGAGTAAGCTCCAATAAAGGCTTAACATCTATTTAAAAAAAATTGCTCTAGCACAATCGGCTACGAAATTCCTTTTTTACATTTAGTATCAAATTTATATGTAGAAACAGTGAGCATAAATAAATCATTGTGTAGAAATATTTGAAAAAAACCCTTAAAATATTTGTAAAATTTGCTTTCTATCGCTTACACGAAGTCAGCTGCTTTGTGCAGCAGCTTTCTTTTTACGCTCTCCCAAAATCTCTCTGCAAAAAAACTGTATCCCGTTGGATTAAAACCCAAAATTATGAGGAGACTGAGCAACTTCTTCTTATCCTCAAATAAAACATCTCTCACTTAACTGTTCCCAAGTCGTAGTTCTCTCGCCTTAACACATTCGCACACTATACATTCCACACACCCCTTACGTACAATTCTTACACTCCTATTCAGTAACACATTCACCTTATAAACACTCCCTCACTCATTTTCACACTTTTCATATTGTGAGTTTACTTAATGTCAAACCTTTAGAGGGTTCTTTTAAATAATAAGTTTAGTTCACTAGTACCTTTATAATTCTAAATCAGGATTATTCCACTAACTTTTATATATTTTATCCTTTTTCACAACCTCTGTGCCACAACCAAATTGCTCAACTGCAGAGTGGAAGCCTGGTGACCCGTAATTCAGGTTTTTCTATACCTATCTCGGGCACCAGTCTCTCACAAAACAGTCTGACCAATTTTTGGTCTTGTGTTTTAAGTTCCTTACTCTTAAGCCTGTTTTGTGATTGAGAAAATAAATAAACTTCATTCATTCATTCATTCATTCATTCAGCTGGCACGATATTTATGTTTAAAAAATAACTAAAAGCGGGAAAGCTAATTTATATATATATATATATATATATTTATATATATATATTGTGATTGATCTGTGACTGACGTTATCAATGTAAATGGTTTCTGTAAAATAATAAATGCCTAAATTAAGAATGTTCATTTATTTCAATTGCATAAGTAGGTAATTTAAAAAAAAAACTTATAATAAACAATTTTTAAAATTTTCATTGCGTTGAAAGAACGAACAGACGACTCGACTGTATGTAAATGTCTTTGTTTTTTAGGCTCTGTGGAATTGACCCCTTAGGTGTGACAAAGCATGCCGGATACCTCCAATGAACGCTATGCCAATGAAATTTTTGGACCTGTTGTTTTTATTTCGTGTTTTGTTTCTTTATTTTTTACACAAAATTCGTTTGTTTTTTTTCGAATTTTGTTATTTTTTTGCAAAATTCGGAGAGCATATTGTTTGTAAATAAATATGGCTGTTTACAAAAATAACAGAAAATGTGCAAAAAATAAAGTTGGCATAGTGCTCTGTGGAGGTATCGATGATTGAGAAAATATAATTAAAACAATGTACCATTCAAATAAAATGTTTATTTTGAATACATAGTATGGTCACGAATAACAAATAATTTCAGTAAGTCAAGAAATCATTACAAATTACATGGTTCAGTGCTCACACTCGTATGTAACATTATAACAGAAGGAGCTGGTAAGTCGTTCAATTTGACGTAAGTATTACAGGTACGTAAACAGCCGAGAACAATATCAAATTACAGTACGCCACTTATAGAACCAGGACCCCGATTCAGAACTCTTCGATATCGTAACCGAATCGTTCGATTGGATATTGTTCTCGAATTGAAGGGCGACCCAGATTTAAAAATAATAAACGTTTAAAATAATAAAAGACTTCCATATTACATTCAATGCATTAAACAATAGGACATTCGGTAACTTTCATTCGATAACTGCGTTCTGAATAACGTTTGTAGCCGTTGCTGTACTGCTAGACTAGTTTACTTTAGTTACTTCCATAGTATAATGTCCTACGGAATTCTCATGTGGAGTAAAGTGGCAGATATACAAACCATATTTGTATTGCAAAAACGAGCGATTCGTTCTGTGTACTATAATCGAAGGCTGTAGCTCAGATGCATTGCGAGAGGTACTTTTAATAATATAAAACGGGATTAACTTAAAACTTTTGGTTTATTTTACCATTTTTATGTCTAGGGTTACAAAACAATGATCTTAATATCAATGTCAAGATCTTCTATTTTCTTAACATTCTTTTTCAAAGGATTCTAAATACAAACTAACTCATTCAGCCAGCAATTCTACTCATAGAGTACAGCCTCGTCTACAGTACCGTCTAGGCTCTCGGGTATCTCTCAGAGAAAAGTTTAAGGAGACAGGTATCATGACTGTGGCATCACAGTACATTTACTCAAATATTTTATATGCACGTAAAAATATACAGAATTTCAATAAGAAAGAAGATATCCATAATATTAACCTAGAGCTAAGTCCAAACTCACGGTACCACGATTTCGTTTAACCAAGGTAAACAACTCTTTTATTGGGAACTGTATACGTTTTTACAATAAGATTCCGGAGCATATATTAAGTTTATCATTTCCTAAGTTTAAAAACTACATTAAAAATATTTTGATCGAAAAATCATATTACAAAATTGAAGACTACGTGTTAGATAAAGATGTATGGAAAGACGACACGACTCCAGAATCCACACAAATTTGATTCACAGTGTATTCCATAGCATTTAAGTTTATTTGAAAAGAACAATCCCTAGAGTTTCTTGCTCGTTCTCAGGGAGGTCAGCGTAGTGAACGAGCAGTAGCTTAAATGTGACGTTTTCAAGTGTAAATTTATTTTACCTATGGAATAAATAATCTTTGACTTTGACTTTGACTTTGCCGATTGAGAAGTACGAGTAATCGTAAGGGTGTCATGACATTTCGGTTCGGTTTCGAATGCGACAGTTTGACATTCGATTTGGTTATTGTGAATAAAAATGAAAAGAAATCGTACGATATCTGATCGAATCGGTCGACAACAGAGTTATCGTCAGGTTCTGAATCGACCTGCTGTGCATGCACGATTGAAGAACAATTTGCAATGTATGCGTTACGTACTCGTATGTACTGTAAACAGAAAAACAGAACTATAATAAAGACAGACAAAAACTGTACAAAAACAACATGATGAGTAAACATATAATAGTAATTTTTATTTAGCATTACAATAACAAAAAACTTACATTTCGTTTATCCATTAATAAGAAGCATTGTGCAATAGTTACAGTTGGGCTTACATTACCTATTCTTTTTTCGGTATTGGACGGACGGAAAGTTAATTCTTACTTATTTATTTAATTAAAGAAAATCAGCGCTCGTGGTTCAAGAACAGATTTCTGAGTGTAGCGAAGGTTTCAAGACATGAGACGCAAAATAACTTTGCTGCCGAGCGAAACACACAACTTTTCTCATTATAGCGAGGAAAATGGTAGATCAAAGAAAAACAGTTGAACTACAAAACATTCTTTTTTTTAATTAAAAGAAGTCGAAAGCCAAACAATCATTTATTCCATAGGTAATAGTACATTATGATATAAGTGCGGTAAGTTGAAAATTACGTAATTATGTAATTTTCAAAGCGAACGTATGTCATACGACGTTTTATAACATATTTGCGAGGAATTATAATAATTACTTGGTAAAGCAGTTATAGAAATTTGAACAATTTTTGAAAGTGATTGTTACGTTGCCAGTTGGCATTTTTAATGTTGTCAAGTTATTATTATTAGTTACAATCTCCCCAGTCTCTTTCTCACTCTCTTGAGTGAAAGTAGGAGAAACGAGACCACAGAGTTCTGCAGTCGGTGGCGGCGGCGGAGGCGGTTGCGGCTGCGGCGACGATGGTGGAATGTACCCGTGTGTGCTCGTAGATGGTTGAAAGTCAACACTTGACTCCAAATTTATGTTCCTTGTAATGCGAGAGCTAATTTCTTCTTTATTTCTTATCGAGTCTTCTATGTATCCTTCGGCTACATTGCTTGACATCCTCCGTGGCGTTTTAGTGTCAATAAGTCCGCACCTGAATCGGCGAGCAATGTAGCCGAGGACCTTCTGAAACTGTGCCCTGTGTATTCATGTGCTTGAGGCAAATTTAAGAAAGTGGCAATTTCTTTCGGCATTGCTCCCAATTTATTAATGCCAATGGGTTGGTTAGTGCATTTTCCATTTTGGTAATTTTGAAAAAATCTGTTGGAATTAGCTTTTGTTGAACGAAGCGCTTCGTATTTCTTCACAACGTCGTAAAAAGGCCCCTGTATTGTGAACGACCTTGGAATTTTATTTTTTGTGTTTTGACCTGGAAAAGAAGAACCCGCCCATGGTTCTCGACATCATTAGTTGTTATGTTTGCCAACTCTTGACGTCTACATGCACCATTTATACCGAATATTAATACAACCTGAAAAGAGATAAAAAGAACGTATAAACACCTATATTGTAAAGAAATACGAAAGTGAAAGAAATTAATAACAATAATTTAGTTTCAACTGACCTTTGTTGCCAAATATCGCCAATCCGGAGCTTCTTTTAGGAACTTCTTGATATTGTCAGCCGAAAATACTTTCGACTTTTTGCTTACATGGCCATCTGAGCGTCTTTTTAGAAATGCTATCAAGTTGGAGTATGACTTGATATCAATACCATGGTTTGTTTTACATAGTGCTTTTTAGCATTGAACAGTAGCACCACAATGAGCTTGACTTATATTTTTGAGAAAGTCCCATGAAATAGGCTAAAAACACATTTTCTGAAAATGAATTTGCATCTTTGCTTGTTTTCCATATGATGAAATTTTGATACGCTTGTAAGTATCTATCGGTCGATTTTTCAGGTAAGAGGCTTAGAGTAGCCTTTTTCGCTGCGTTTAAGAGTTGTGGCGGTGTCAAATTGATAAATTCATCACTACTCGACGACATTTTCAAATAAAAACAATACAGCGAAAAGAAAAAGCGCGCGAAATAATTTTTACTTGTCCACAAATTAGCCATGCGCGCGCATCAACGTTATTTTTTAGGCAAAGGTATAAAAATAGCCAGTATTACTAATAAAGTAAATTAATTTTTTGTGTTTTTGTTACAGATAAATGGTTGTAATTTATTTTCAAAATTAATTAAATGAAATAATTAAATGTTTATTTACTATATTTTATCTCCCAAAGTTAATTTTATTCATAAAATATTGACCACTTTTCTAACATAAAAACTCTTTGCAAAGATTTAAAAAAGTATCGTTCATTTTTAGACGGATGTTATGTATTTGTATGTTACTTTATTTAAAAAAAAACTCGTGCGTTTTACATTACAATAACGCACTTGTGCGTTTTACATTACAATAACGCACAAGTGCGTAATGAAATACATTACGATATTGAAATTGGTGTGATTTCAGCCACGTTACGAGCAAATATGTTATAAACATTTTTACATTTGAAAACGTAATTTTTTAAGCTACTTTTTAAACTACTGCTCGTTCACTACGCCGACCTCCCTGAGAAGAACGAGCAAGACACTCTAGGGATTGTTCTTTTCAAATAAACTTGAACGCTACGGAATACATTTTGAATAATAATTGTGTGGAATCTAGACTCTTGTTGTCTTTCCATACTTCTTTCTCAATTTTGTGATATGACTTTTTAATTAAAATATTTTTAATGTAAGTTTTAAAGTTAGGAAATGATAATATTAATATATTCTCCGGAATCTTATTGTAAAAACGTGTACCCCATAAAAGAATCGTTCACCTGTAGTTAAACGAAATGGTGGTACCATGAGTTTGGACTTAGTTCTAAGGTTAATATTCTGGGTATCTTCTTTCTTAATGAAATTATGTATATTTTTACCGGCATACAAAATATTTGAGTAAATGTACCGTGATGCCACAGTCATGATACCAATCTCCTTAAACTTTTATCTTTATACACAGAATGAATCGCTCGCTTTTGCAACACAAATATGGTTTGTATATCTGCCGCTTTACCCCACATGAGAATCCCGTAGGACATTATACTATGGAAGTAACTAAAGTATAATAATCTAGTAAAAGTTTACCTTTGGATGAGTTCTGAGTTTGCATATCATCAATTTTTATTTTTGCTTGTACTTCTATAATTTTGTGTGATTAAGTGATAATTGAAATTATTTTAGTTCTTTTTTTCTTTATTTAAAGGGTTTTGTCAAAATTATTTTAGTTCTTCGACGAATTATAACAATTCAATAAAGACAATTAGTTGTCATTGTCAGTTTAATGTCAACAATAATAAGAATAAAATAATTATACCAACGGACTTAGAATAATAACGCATAGAAACCTAGTCCGCATACGCTAAGTGAGGCAAATTGAAGCGCTCCCAAAAGGCCTACACGAGCGGGCGGACCTTCAGTGCTCAAGGTCAACTTGCACCGCGAACAGCTCAAGAATTTTAGCTAAAAATGACGAAATGTGCGGTAAATGAGTGTAAAAATACGTCAGACAAACAAAATAGATACTAACATCACATTCCACAAGGAAGTAACGCGTTTCAACTTGTATTTTTATATAAATATTCACTAAAACCGAAAATTAACCTACTACTAAAACTAGCCTACATGAATTTGATTTTTGCCTCACTTGTGACAGTTCGTTTGTTATGAAACTATCATTCTATGCGTTATTATTCTAAGCCAACGGATATATATTACATATAGTAGTTTATGTGACTGTACATAATGAAAGGCAACACAAGTGTGAGTTTCATAAGAACATCACACGAGTGTTTTAATGCCCAATTATGTACAGTTACATACACTGTTTTATCTATACACATATTATAAGCTCTCTATGATTGTGTTCAGGAACCGCATGGTGCGACTGGCGAAATGGCGGCAAATAAAAACTTTTTAATACAGTTGCTCAAAACGTGATATTTTTCGTACTACAAATCGTACCGAAAGTTGGATTTTTCGCGCTAGTGCTTTCTACTTTTCCATTTTTATTTAATTTACTGTAGTTTCAAGTCTTAAACATAGAACTAAAGAGGTTTTGTATTTATTTCATATTTATGTGCTTTGTGACGTAAGTCATTCGTCATTAAAACTTACATTTACTTACAAACATCTTATTTGTTTAAATTACATAGGTGTTTTATAAAACAATGGGTTGCATTTAAAAATACCTATATATAATACCTATAATAAATAATAAATATTTTCCATAAAGATGGCTGATTGAGTGTTAACAATGACCGGAGGTGAGTATTACGCGAGACCGCTGCGCGCTGCGCCACTAAAATAGTAATTTTAATGTGGCTGAATACTGGCAGCAGTTGCCATTGTACTCTAAATTTTTATCAGACAAAGAAATAAAATGAGTTTTTTTTTTTTTAAATACTGTTTTATTTTACTTTCAATGTAGTTTTTTCGCAAGTGTATTAAAAAACGTCGTTTGATACACGTGCGGATTTGTCATTTTCACTTGTCTCGAGCCTCGAGACTCGTGAATAATGACTAACTTTCCGCATTTGTATCAAAAATAACTATTTCTCACGCATGTCACACAACCGTAGTTTTCATTTTTAATTCATAGACCAAGAATCGGGATTTCGCTCTGGACCTTTTGGAGGGAAAAGTGTCGTTTTTATTTTGACTTTCAATTATTTTGTGAAATCTAGTTTAAAGTGGAATAGGATAGTGCTATTGTGCCTTAATCGAAGATTAAAACGCGAAATTATACGAATCTCGAACTAAAATACCCGTATCGGCCCGTTTTAAGGAATCCCGAGTCAATCCAAGCACGCCGCCTCAAATTGCCTATCCTCTTTGTGGCGGCCATATTTACAGAAACATAATTAAACTTCATGTTTAGGCTGATGGCTTTGCCAAAGCCTTAATAATATTAAAAAAAAAAAAAAAACCAAGAATCGGCTCCAACTATCATATAGTTCGATTTCGAAATTGTCAAAATTGTTTGCGATTGACATTTAATTTCGAATAAAGCTTCATCTCGACTGATATTAGAATTGAGGTCAAACAAAATGTGTTATGTTTTTCAAAGGTTATCGAAATTTGAATGTATTAATAACATCGAATTCGATGTTAAGAAGCAATAATAACATTTTCACAGATAAGAAAATTGTTCTAACAAAACAGTTTACCTTTAGGCTGGTCGTAATATGCGGTTTTTGAACATTATAGAGAGTTTATGATATGTGTGTAGATAAAACAAGTAATGTACGACACATCGCGTAGTTGAACGTGTCATTATCTTTTTTTTCATCGGAAGGAAAGTAAAGTTCGATCTTCAAAAACCTGCTCCACGCCAGCGTGCAAAAATAATAACACTTATTTAGATATTTTTTCCTTATTATGGTATAATATTGTTGATTATATGTACATCCATTAGCAACCATTACCTCCAATGAAGCCGCAACAATGACGTCTTCGTTGTGAAAACAAAATAATCCCATTTCCATAAGAACCGGCATTGGTCCGGCGAATAGCCGATTTGGAATAATAGACCTTGTTGTGGCAAAACAAAGTGGGTTATTCAACTCAATTATTGTTGTAATGTATCGAGAGGTTCGGGGCAATACTCAATAAGTGTGTTTTTGTTATAATATTTTTTTTTTATATCAAATGACGAGATGAACAAATCGTGCGCCTGGTGGTAAGCGACACGCCTGTCCAAATAGATCTGAGGAGTACTGCCACTGCGCCCGTCAACATGAGACATAAGTTCGCTACTTTTCAAGAATATTGGGTTTATCCAAAATTGGTCCTTTTTTACTTATTATTGATAGAAATTCAGAAAATGCTTAATTTAATTATGAGTAGGGTCAAGAGCACGTCAAATTTGAGACTTAAGATTTAAATCCAACTATATGCCGCTTACGATAAGAACGGTCCAAAGTACAAAATGTCAAGCTTGATGTGCTGTAGACTGTACCTATAATTCCAAGCTTTTTATTGGTTGGAATAATCACATGACAACATTGGGATGGTCCACGATTTGTCAACTTTGGACTGCAGACGCTTCTCAGCTTTTTTAAGCCATCTTCCTGATGAATTAGATGCTTTTGAGATAGACCATTATTCTTGAAAACTATCGAATTCACAAGATGAAGAAATATTTCTATCGATGAATGTTATCTCTTGGAACGAATTATCCACTTCTGTTACTTAAAACGTATATGGAACTAATGACCTTGGTCCTTCGTACGCGTCATAGTTGCTTGAATTATGAATTGTAGTTTTGAATTTATATACTCATCAGGGGACCTTACCATGAACTCTTATTACGGTTCAGTTTAGGATCTAAAATGGATCGTTGGGATATAGCGCTACATGAAGTGTATGTTACCATCCCGCTTTTTTATCGTTACGAACCTATACTGAACTGTAATAAGAGTTCATGGTAAGGCCCCAGGTCCTTTTTTTTCTACTAGGTTTTTTTTTATTACAACAAGTGACAGGACGACAAAGTCGTCCTGGTGTCCATAATAGTTGCAATGGCACTCAGAGTTTTAAAACACAAATCTGAGAGCCACTACCTCTGTGCCCGT